TCTACCTGCACATAGTCACTACGTAGATTTAACTACATCTGAAGCAGGTTGGCATAAGCATAGATATTGGGATTGGACAGGAATGATAAAAGGTAAAGGATATGATGTTAAAGACGAGGTTAAGTTTGCTATAAATTGTTACTGGAGTAACACTGAGGGAGGAGGAAGCCATACACATCGCGTTACAGGATATACGCAAACAACGGGACAAAGTAAAGAATACATGCCACCTTACATGACAGTTTACGCATGGTATAGAATTGCTTAGTCGTCATTTTCAACTTCTTTAGCATATTCGTCAGGAGTTGTCTTATATTTGTTAGGAACTGTCTTTGAAAGTATACCACCTTGAACTTTGACAAGTTTGAAACGAGGTCTGACAATAGTAGTTTTATCTTCTGCTTGCAGTGTGTACATTTTGCCATGTTTGCCTAAAACTTCATAATATTCTCTTGTATATTCTCTCCTATTTTTACGAACACGAATGTGAGTACCTGTCGGGTTCCCATTGTTGTCATAGTCAATAGTATTTTCATATGGGTCGCGTTTAGGTATTTCTATTTTTACTTTGTCACCTTTCTGAAGTTTGAAGCCCGGCATTCTTTCTTGGTCATCCCTTTTGACTAAATTATTAAATATATAGTCTTTCTCTAAGTCAGGGTTGTTTTTCATTTCTTCGGGGGAGTGGTTTCCCAAACCTTTTTGTTTACGGCTATTGTAAATATTTAAAACTTGTCTCATCTTTGCCATGGAGAAGTGTCTATACTTGTCGTCATATGACATTTCATTTGCTTCACCACCTTGTGGTTGGTTTAAGTCTCTTAATATTTTTATACAACCGTCAATGACACCAAGAGCAGAATGGTTTTGGTCGACAATGAAATATTGGTTTACATTTTTTGAACGCAGATAGTTTTTAATATCATCTGATTTGAAAGAACTTTCACAGTCAGATGTCAGTTTTGTTGGATGGTATTTGTCAACGAATATTGTCAAAGCAGTTTTCACATCTAAAATATTTTTGGACCATAATGGTATGGCTTCACAGTATCTTGTGTTTTGACCGATAAATATTAACCAGTATGGAGGTCCATCTTCTCTATACCTCGGAATGTTTTCCAAGATATCCATAAACCAAGCATTTGGTGTTGAACTAAAGATTTTTATCATGAGTGCTTTCTTTGTCGCTTTAGAAACATAGGGGTCCTTGTTTGGATTCGTCATTTTTTACCCTATAAGAAATGGGTTTATTTGGCGCATTAGCAGGAGTTGCATCCAGATTTTTGCCCGCAGTGGGAACAATAGCCAGAGGTGCGTTTGGAATTGGAAGGAAGATTTTGAGTACATTAGGTATACTTAAAGAGAAAGCACAACCTATTATACAAACTGTACAGAAAGGTTGGGAGGTAGCACGAGATGCAACAAATCTTATTCCAAATCCTGAAACAAGAGGAAAAGTTCAAGGATGGATGGACAATGTAGGAAGACAAGCAGGAAACTATTATAACAAAGCAAATGACTACATAACCAAGCAGGACACTATATGGACCAAGGTGAAAGATTCTTTAACAGAGGATATAACCATGCACAACAGTGGGTAAACAATAACCAACCTCAACCGCCTCAAACGTGGGGAATGTAAAATTTTTTACTGAGATGAAATGAACAATACAGCATTGAGACAAATGGGTTCAAGATGGATTTGTCGACTTCCAGCAGTTACACCACGTGTTTGTCAAGTTCTTCCTATACCTCAGGAAGTTTTAGACCGACTTAAAAAACCTAAACAACCAGTTGAAAACAAACCAAACTAAAATTTTTTACTGAGATGAAAATGACCGAAGAAGTTGAAACGGTAGATTTGACACCACAAACAAAAAGTTCAGAACCATTGTCAAAACCTGTCAAAGAACTTACAGATGAAGAGAAAAATTCAATAATAGAAAGTGCCAGGTCTGGAAATACAAACCCTAACTATAAAGTCACTTTTCATAGAAATGGAACGGCTAGTATCTCAAAAAAGAAACAGACTCTCACAAATAAAATTGAAGTCTGAAGGAGCTTTCGAGACAACAGATGGAAAAGTTTACTTCACTGACCAACAGTTCATTATAGAACATCTCATTGACTTAGAGTCGAAATATTCTAAACTTTACAACAAACACAAAAAGTTGAAAGGAAAACAAAAACAAATGGCATATGATATTTATGAAGATGTTGACGACACAACTGTTCCTGCAGGTGGGGCACAGCCCGAGGAACCGAAAAGTGACGAAAAACCGATAGAAGAGGAGAGACCAAAAACTGAAGATAAACCAAAACCAAAGTTTAGTTTCCAAACTAAACCAAGTCAACCTTCATTAGCTGGTATGGGTTGGCGTCAAAGACTTATGGCAGCAGGCGGTTATGTAAAGTAAAGAAAAAAATATTTTTTTATTTTTATAAAAATGCCCCCATATAGAATGGATAGAAAGTCTGCTAGAATAAAAGCAGAGTTACAAAGATATGGTTGGAGAGTTTCGAAGAAGTTTAAATATAGGAAGGGAAGACCCATAAAAGTCTATGACAAATTGTCTGGTCTTCGCTACGAAATGGATTTGGAAACAGCACGTGCCAATTATCCAAACAGACTAGAGAGGTTAGAAGAAGAACGTCTTATGGACATGCCTTTCGATGTGTTAAACATTGCATGAAGTAAAAACGTTTTTCAAAAAAATATTTTTTTTATTTTATTTGAAATGTACGCTGAGTTTGTTGGAGCAGACCGTTGGGAAACTTGTTTGTTAGATGAGAAATATGAAATTCACTGTTGTGAGTCATTTGAAGTCAGAAACAAAAAGACAAAAAGAGTTTTAAGCGAATGGGAGCAAAAAGACGGATATGCTGATATGAAGATGGGTGGAAAACACTATCTTAAACATGTTGTCATTGCAACTCATTTTATACTGAATCCTAACAATTTACCTTTTGTAGACCATATAAACCATATAAGAAACGACAATAGACTTGAAAACTTACGTTGGGTCACTCGTTCTGAAAACAATAAGAACAAAGGCAAATTTGGAGATATTGTATTCGAATTTGTCGACGAACTAGAAGATGAAACAATTGAAATTACAGACTATGGCAAGCATACGTTTGAGTTTTACTACTATAGCGAAGAACAAGACTCTTTCTACTTTTATACCGGCGTAAACTATAGGAAATTACAAGTATATTTTACTAAGGCGGGCTATGCTTATGTAAACACTAGAGATACAGATGGAAAATACGTTCAAATACTTCTTAACAAATTCAAGAAGCTATATGGCATACCATTTTAAAAAATATATTTTTACATATATTAAATGCTTCAGGTTGAAAAACAAAGAACAAAAGTAGCAGATACAAAACCATTAGACTATATCTTTACAAATGCTGGTAGGAATATATCAGATGAAGAAATTTCATCCCGAGCATACAGGTTTGACTATCCAATTCGTTGGCTTCAAAGTCCTTCAGATGCAAAGGCAATAGGATTTAGAAGAGTTTTGTTTTCAAATAGAACTAACGCATTTATGTTCGCAGTATATTTTCATGGGCAGTATAAAGGTTCTGATGGTCTAATAGACAAATTTGACGAAATGAGAATCTTTACAGTTCGTTCAGACGAAAGTCTTGAGAAAACTCTAAATGACTTTCAAACTCAAATGAACAAATATTATTGGGAATTTCAAGAAAAATACGACTCTTTACTAAATGGAACATACTATCTGAAACTAGAATATGACAAGATGAACTCCACCGTTTCATTTCAAAGGATTGAAATTAACCCTCCAAGAGATACAGAGTTTTTATTTTGGAAGTAGACAAACGTTCTTGGCACAATTTCTTCGGTTACTAAACCAGAACGAACCATTACCACCAGATGGTCCATTTAAATTTATACTTCCACCAGCAGATTTGATGGTTTATAGAAACGTGTTTGACCCTCAAAATGTTATGTGTCATGCAAGTTTCAGTTCAAGCAACAATAGTTTTCTATGTATTGGTAAGGACTTTTATGACTTTGCTTCTAAATTCTACGAACCATCTAGTAACAGTTTCTCTGACTTTCAAGTTTGGTTCACAACAAATGGTGTGCAACATATTATTCCATTGTACTATGACTTTTATCTCGAATTGTCTTTCATATATAACTACAGAAAAGTGCTGAAAAAGTATTGAATGTGAAGATATTAGAAAATAACATTTTTTCTAACATCGTAGAAAACTCATGAAAACAATTTATTTTTGACACTTTCACAAAAAACATAAAAAAGTGAGTTAAAATAAGATGTTTACTGAACTGGTTGGATGTCGCCTTCACAGGTTATGTAGAATGGTTGACCAGAGAAGTGGAACAGTGCTCTGAGAATTTGTATAATTCGTGGAATTGGACTCTCTCTGTTTGGAAGTAGTATCCAAGGACGTTTGGCAAAGAACTTTATAATGGCTTCTCTTTTGGCGTCCTTTATGTCGTCGAAAGGAGTGTTTTCTGGTATTTGAATTGGAATTCCAGTCGAAATCTCGAGATTCAAGGCAGCCCTTCCCGTTATCCAACAGTTAACAAGCTTGCCTTTTACATTCTGCCTGAGGAAGTCTTTTACGCAGTCGTTAATTTCAATTAGGTAAATTGCCTCATCTAATGGCTCGATGTTGTCCATTGCTACTGTCAGTAAAAGTACTGCTACTGTCAGAAAAAGTACTGCTACTGTCAGTAAAAGTACTGCTACTGTCAGAAAAAGTACTGCTACTGTCAGTAAAAGTACTGCTAGGAGCAGTAAAAAGGAAAATTTGAGAGGGTTTTCAACGATAAAGTACTGCTACTGTCAGTAAAAGTACTGCTACTGTCAGAAAAAGTACTGCTACTGTCAGAAAAAGTACTGCTACTGTCAGAAAAAGTACTGCTACTGTCAGTAGCAGTACTGCTAGTAGCAGAGATTTTTATCGTTGTGGTCCGATGGTTAAGCCACAAACGAATGTCCCACGTCCCACCAACCCAGTCCATTCTCAATCCAGAAGAACCGAAAGCACCAGCCCCTGCACCTCAGTTCCAGCAATTCCAATCTCAATCCAAATTACTACCAATTCCAATCTCAATCCAAATCGAAGAGAGACCAAGAGTTCGAAGAAGGTCTGAACCGCTTACGCAAAGAGTATGCTACAGCTCCAACCCTTGGTTGTTCCAGCAATTCCAATCTCAATCCAAATTACTACCAATCTCAATACAAATCGAAGAAGGTCTGAACCGCTTACGCAAAGAGTATGCCACAGCTCCAATTGAGAGAAAGTTGTTGCTAAATTCAGTAAAAATAATGTTTAGGTGAAGAGGTGAGATTTCACCTCTTTTCTCACCTGTTTTCTCACCCTCTTGAATTTGTCATGAATTTCCTTAAGATAGAAAAAATAAAGTTAGTTTTATACAAAATTCATGCGGGAAATTCTTGAGTTTTGGTTGAAAGAATACGGTGGAGCCAAAAGTGGCTCGACCTCAAAACAAGCATTTTATGAGCTTACAAAGGGTGTTATGAATGAATTCAGCAACATACATCCTGACCTCGTTCATTTTGTCATAAATTTACACCAAAAATAATGTTTAGGTGAAGAGGTGAGATTTCACCTCTTTTTTCACCTGTTTTTTCACCCTCTTGAATTTTCATGATTTCATCGTAAATATTTTGTCGAAACTTCTTCATCGTAAATGTTTTGTCATGATTTCATCGTTTATGTTTTGTCATGATTTCATCGTAAATGATTTGTCATGATTTCATCGTAAATATTTTGTCAAACATGAACGTAAATGTTTTGTCGAAACTTCATCGTAAATGTTTTGTCATGACTTCTTCGTAAATGTTTTCTAACCTCATTTCTACCCTCTTGAATTTTCATGAATTTTCCCGAAATAAAAAAATAAAGTTATTTTTATTTTTATTTATTTTTTTATTTTGTATGTAAGAACAGATATGTCAGTCGAAGCAAAAACGTTCACGAACAAATATAATGGCGAAACATTCACAAAAGGCACTTATAACGGTATTGAAGTCTTACGTAGAGACAAGGATGGTTACATTAATGCAACAAATATGTGTCAGCAGTTTAGGAAAGACTTTAGAAAGTTGTTGGAAAATAAGTCCTGGGAAGAGTATTATAAGGCATTTTGTGAAGAATATAGCAACCGCCGGAATTCCGGCGGTTGGTTTTTATACAAAATTCATGCAGGAATTCCTGATGAAATCAGACAGGTTAGAGGAACGTATGTAGACCCAAGACTTATAAACTATATAGCAATGTGGGCTTCTCCAAAATATTGCATAGCAGTTGGAAAAATTATGGACTCCATAGACAAGAAAGTTCATGAGAAGTTAGATGAAGAAGAACTCGAAGATACAGTAGAGAATGCTAAACCTTTGTTCGAAGAAGAAGTTGGAAAAATGCATGAAAAACAATTAGAACATGAACGTGAGATATGTTATGGTTATAGAGACTCTCCATACGAACTAGACCAATGGGAACAAGAAGATTTAAAGAGAGAATTTAGAGAATATGAACTCGCTAAAATTTCATTAGAAGCTGCAGAAAAGAAGTTAAAAGTTTGGGGTCGTTTTGTACAAAAATATTGTGAGTAAATGAACCATTTATTTTTATTGAATTCAGCAAAAATAATGTTTAGGTGAAGAGGTGAGATTTCACCTCTTTTTTCACCTGTTTTTTCACCTCATGAATTTTCCCGAAATAAAAAATAAAGTTAGTTTTATTTTTTATTTTATTTATTTTTTTATTTTGTATAAAAGACATGATTTCAACAATCGGCACAACAACAGTTCAAACAACTACAGCACCAAACTCGTTAGTCATGAATCCAACATCTATGTTGGTAGAGATGAAAAACTTCATTCCTTCTTCATATACTTTCGAAACAAAAATCCAGAAGATAAAGCAGGAATTGTTAACAAGTAATTTAGACTGTACCGCACAGGATGAAACAAATGAACAGTATCTTTATGAAATGCAGGACATTATTGACCATTTACCCAAATTGCCTGAAATCCAACAACAAAAACTAACTATTCCTGAATTCGACGAAATAGAAGTGAAACCAACTGACTCAGTAGAAATAAAGAAGTTCATACGTAGGGTAAACTATGAATTCCTTGGTTTTCATTGCAACCATAAGGTTATGGACAAAGATTGCGATATGGTATATAAGAATGTTTCTGACATATATAAATCTGAAGAATTTAAGACCTACGACAACTTTGTTTCATTAGTTGCAAAATGTGTTTGGGAAATAAGAGATAAAGATAGTAGGGGTAAGGTATGGAACGAACAGATAAGACCCGCTATGTTTGAGATGAAGAGAGCAATTGACGCCTTAGTTGTTCTAGCAGGTAAGGTTTCAGAATATAACGCAAAAATGAACCCGCAATGTTCTAAATGTAAAGCAGCAATGAGGAGATATAACTACTCCGTCAAAGAGATAGAAAGAATGCGAAACGACTATGCAGACTTAAAGAAAGAAGCAGAAAAGCCAGCAGAAGATAAAATGGATATGTTAGAATTTCTGAACAAAAACTATCCAACTGCTGACGATTTCCTTCTATCTGACGTCAAGAAGAAGTATAAAGAAACTTTCGGTATCGTTAAAACATTCGATGTACTGACAGAAGAAATAGAAGCTACGAAACTGTTTAAGATTTCAAATATACATCATACAATTCATGTAAAACGCTTATAAAATAACAGGTGAGAAAAGAGGTGAAAAAAGAGGTGAAATCTCACCTCTTCACCTAAAATATATTTTTATTGAATTCAGCAACAAAATTCTGAGTAAAATAATTTTTAGGGCTTGTGTCAAACCGTTGAGTTTTCACAAAATTTAAAAAATAACGTTTACCATGTGAAACGTTTATAAAATAACTGGGGTGAAAAATTAGGTGAAAAAAGAGGTGAAATCTCACCTCTTCACCTAAAATATATTTTTGTCTGATTTACGCTCATTACGAAGAAGTTTTGACAAAACATTTACGATGAAATCATGAAAATTCATGAGGTGAAAAAAGAGGTGAAATCTCACCTCTTCACCTAAACATTATTTTTATTGAATTCAGCAACAAAAATCATGAATTTCCTTAAGATAGAAAAAATAAAGTTAGTTTTTTATAAAATATTTTTTTTTATTTTGTATGTAAGAACAAAAATGACAAACATTGAGTTTGAAACAGTTAGAAAGATAGACAATGACACCAAATTGGTTAGAATAGGTGATTTAAACGTAAGATACTCAAAGAAATACAACAAATATTCTTTGTCAGACATTTTATCTCCATCTGGAAAGAAAACAAAGGACTGGGTTAGAATTGCTTCTACTCAGAAAATTTTGACAAGAAATCCTGAGCTTATGATATCGGTAAGATTCTATGGAACTGCAGCATATCTCATCGACAAAAGTCTTATACCAATAGTTTTGTTATGGTTAGACCCAGTTGTTGGATATAACTTCATAACATATGGTTCGTTCGACTCAGAACGTTGCAGTGAAGGCTTACTTTACATCGTTCAGAAACCGAAGGACTTCAACACAAAAAGATATAAGATAGGAAGGACATATAATATAACTCTAAGATATGACAGTACAGTCAATAGAGTCAGGGTTGTGTTTGTTAATGATATGAGAGCTGCAGAAACAGAACTACTTGAAAAGTTTGAGAAAATGTATGGTGCTCCCATAAAAGGTAAGGAAACGTTTGAAGTAGATGAGATAGATAAAGCTATAAAATTATTTGACGAAGTTACTGAAAAATACATGTAAAGCGTTTATTTTTGGTCTTTTGTGAAAGATAGAAAAAATAAAGTTAGTTTTATTTTTTTTATTTTTTTTATTTTGTATGTAAAGACAGATATGTCAACAACAGAGAACACAACAACAGTTATAGTCCATGAAGCTATAAATGAAGAATATGAGTGGGTTCAGTTTAACAAACAACTCCGTCTCATTCGTTCAGTCAAAGACGATATGTACCAAATGCAAAGTATTTTGACAGCATGTTTTGCTCCAGATACTAAGAAACCACAAGACTGGTTTAGGAACCAAAGCACACAAGAACTATTAAATGAAGCTGAAAATTCGACTACGGATTTTTTCGTAGTCGCAAAAACTCGAGTAGGGAAAAAAACGCAGTCGCCTAAAACTCATGAAAACAGTGAAGAACAGCGAGTAGGGAAAAAACCCTGGTCGCCAAAACTCTATGAAAATCGTGAAAAATTGCCAAACGGTTTGAGAGGATATTATGTACATAGACTTCTTGTAAATGCTGTTGCAATGTGGGCTTCGCCTCGTTATGCTTGGTATATTTACAGACTTCTTGACGAAATTCATAGACAAGAACGTGAAGAGCTAGAGAACAAGCTTGAAGCAAAAGACAAAAGCATTCAGAAAAGAATACCACGTTCGGTACCAAAAGGAAAGGAAAAGAACTATAAGTATATGATTTATACTGAAGAGATGGAAAATGAAGAAGATAAAGATATGGTTATGTTGCATTTAGTCAGAAGAAACAACAAAAGCTTTTACGACCTTGCTAAGATTTACAAATCTGACAGAAATTGGTTCTATCGCGAAAACTTACCGATTTCAATGACACCGAATGAAGATGTGAAACAAATAGTTCAAGATACGTTACCTCAAACACACTATGATATTAAAGGTTGTACAATTCTTACCTTCAAAGAAGATTTGCCATTGTTAAAGGAAAAAATAACAGAGTATTTTGACAACTTCAAACAAGTAGGGTAGATGCACTCTTTATTTTTACGCTTGACTTCAGATGGCTCAAGTAGCTCAATTAGGTAAATTGCCTCGTCAAATCCTTCTGGCATTCCGAGTCCTTCCTTCCAACAGGAAAAAAATTTCCTTCCAACAGGAAAAAATTTTCCCGACAACAGGAAGAACTCTTCCTTCCAACAGGAAAAATTTTTCCCGACAACTGGAAAAAATTTTCCATCCGACAGGAAAAATTTTTCCATCAGACAGGAAAAAATTTTCCAGTTGTCCGTCCGTAAACCATTCAAATTTTCGAAAATTGAGAACTTTTTGGTCGAACTTCAGAAAAAAATTTTCCATCCGACAGGAAAAATTTTTCCATCCGACAGAAAAAAATTTTCCATCCGACAGGAAAAATTTTTCCATCCGACAGGAAGAACTCTTCCATCCGACAGGAAAAGTTCTTCCTTCCGACAGGACACAAACAGATGACTGACGTTCCTCTTCCTGAATGCCTTCCAAAGCCAGAAGAACCGACAGCCCCAGCACCACAACAGACTTACTTAC